AATCCGTTTATGGTGATGATTGCGTGATCATTGAATCGTATCCACCGTACTTTCACCTCCACATCAAGCCTCGCACTGCCGATATCTCTTCCCAACGGGTAAACATCAAGGAATAACTAGATAGTGATTCCTAAATTTAGGGTTTTTATTTCCGATTGCTTAATTTTCTTTTGCTATGTGTCTATTTTGTTTTTATGATTACAAATCTCGGTAGGTATAGTTTAGTTGTACAAAAGAACGAATCAAAATTTTCAGATAGACACTAGGTTTAATTTAACCCTTTTCCTTAACTTTTATTTTCAGTTTGTGGAAGCAGTTATTGGAATTCGAGGGAGCTCCCAGGTATTTATAGCGTTCACTTTTGGATTTTTAGTAGTTGATGAGAGTTAGTGGCGGCTTATAATTGCGTTTTGATTAATGCACAAATGAGATTAATTATATTGGAGAAAATTTGATTTATCTTTACTGCATTCCCGCTACTAACTTCCAATTTTAATGGCAGTATCCTAAGGAGCCTCCTCTTATTTATCTTATTGATTCCAAGGGTCTTGATGAACAAAGGCAAACTCATCTTATAAGTAACATAAGAGACAAAGCCTGTGAACTCCCTTCTTGTTTTATGCTTGTAGCACTTTGTGAGGTAACCACAGTATTGAATGGTATATTTTTATTGTTTTCCAAAATGTTTGAGAAATTTGAAAGGGGGTATTCTGGTGACTAAAGCATGGTAAATTTTTAATTGGTATATTTCAAGTCTTTATAAACCTTTTGCTTTCCGACTTTCTTATTGCTATTATGATATGCTAGTTTTGTACCGTGTTTCTCAATGTTACAAGTCTTAACCAGATTATGTACTTCTTCCTTTTGTATAGTAGTTGTAGGGAACATCTAGACAGGTGAAATGAATAGTGGTTTCATCTAATCTGAAATTTAAATGGCTGTCTTTATAGTTTATTTGGTTGTGGAATTTTACTTATTTGCAAACAACAAAAAATGATTCAAATTTGTTTGTAGGAAGCGGTTGAGAGGCTTTCTGCTATGAATCACCCTGATGGTGATTGTCCATTGTGCTTATTTCCCTTGGTGTCAGAAGATGACCAGACAGAAAGGTTGCCTTTTATGAAATTGATGTCTTGTTTTCATTGTTTCCATAGGTACAGTAGCACTTTCTCTGTCTTGTATAATTTTAATCATTTCTAAATTTATGTTTGGGTTCCACTTCCTGCTTTATTTTCATTCTGCTTCAGTGCTTTATGTTTTATATGGTATTTTTGTTTATTCCAGTGAGTGCATTATTAGGTGGTGGAATTGGCTTCAAATTGAGAACAAGAATAATACTAAGAATGCATCTAGTGCAACTCTACATTTAAGGAATACAGGCGGTCAACCAGGTATGTTTAATTCACATTGCAAATTAGCAACCATCTTTGATGTAGAACAGAGGAGAGGAGATTGTAATGGTAAATATTTGGCATGCTTTGTAGTGTTATACAAATTATTATTATTATTATTATCTTTATTGAAGAATTGTAAACATGCAGAGGCAGATCAGTGTATGCTTTTATAAGTTTTATTATATATAGATCTTTTGTTCAACAATGAAGCAAAACATGCTGAAATACTTCGGATTAAAATAGAACAGGATATGTCAATGTTTGAAGAGCAATACTTTGCTCAAGTAAAAAAGATAGTCTGGTTTCTTTTATTGGGCAAGTAAATTCTATTCATCCAAAAGAAGCAAGGAATTCCTTGCTTCTTTAAAATCTTACAACCGTACAAAAAGAATTACTCTATAGAGCACAATACAATAGTTGTAAATCTATTCCCAATCCCTATATACACCTGAAGTATTAACAACAGCTTTGTAATTGAACAATCTATTTCTTACTATATTCATCCAAAAGAAGTATTAACAATCTATTGAACAACAGCTTTGTAATTGAACAATCTATTGAACAATCTATAGAGCACAATACAATGTTTATTGAACAATACTTTGCTCAAGTAAAAAAGATGTCTGGTTTCTTTTATTGGGCAAGTAAATTCTATTCATCCAAAAGAAGCAAGGAATTCCTTGCTTCTTTAAAATCTTACAACCGTACAAAAAGAATTACTCTATAGAGCACAATACAATAGTTGTAAATCTATTCCCAATCCCTATATACACCTGAAGTATTAACAACAGCTTTGTAATTGAACAATCTATTTCTTACTATATTCTTTTAATTGTGCAAAAAGATCCTGAACTCTCCTGGGTGAATTCCCACCAACTTTTCTGTTTCTTTCCTGCCAAAGGAAGTAAAGATAGTCTGGTTTCAGACATGATGGAGTTCAATATATTTATCTTTGTTAGGATAGTTACCAACTTTTGCATTTCTGTTATTTTGTTTTGATGCTTTGATTTTCAGAAATGGTTTTCCTTCCTATATGAATGTAAGACAGGTATACATCAAATATCGAGTTAAAAAATGTTATATTTTCTAGTTTATTTACTTATTTGGAGATAAAATGAAATGTGGTTACGTGTTATATGTGAATTTGTTAGGGCACTAAGTTGTATTGGCTTTGTAGTAGTCAATTTTAATGAACACTAAATATAATTATTGTAAATGGTTACAAGTGAATATATTGCTAAAGGTTTCACTATTTATGGCATTTTTTGGTTCATCTAGGGTATCTTTCTTACATTAATTTTCTTCTAAGTTTTGCTTGAACTATTTTTAGATAGGAATGGAGCAGTAGAAGAAAGCATGGGGAATTGTCCTGTTTGCCGTAAGGTTTTCCATGTCAAGGATTTTGAACACGTGCTTGACCTGGTTGGCTCTCATTCTTCACAACCAGTATGTCATCTGATCTTTTATTGTAATAGATTTTGTGAAAGCTTACATCCATCTCGTATTTTATTTAAAGTTGATGAATTTGATTCCTGATTGTGTTCGGGTTTCAGAGTGCGGATAAAGCTGAAGTTAAAGATGATGTGGAGCTTATTCATTCAGACTTGGAGAATATAAGGAGGCAGAAATTTGAGGAGATACTAAAACTGCAGCAAGAAAACTGTGGTTTGATTGGATTGAAGGTAGACCGTGTGGTTTTTCCTAGCATAAACCCCCAGAATATAGTCATATCATCAGACCATGCGTCGGCCATGGAAACAAGTGCAGCAGCAGCAGCAGCAACTGAAGGAAATAATTCAAGTGGTTCGTCGACTAGGCCTGCCACCAGTAAGCACTGGAACTCGGGCATGAGGAGGCCGAGGGCACAAAATTCTCGAAAACCTGTTAGACAATGGGTGAGAAAAGACAATGGAGGTGGTTGTGCAGATTAAACCGATTTTTGTTGAAAATTTTTAAGACTTGCGTTTTTTGATTTTGTGTGATGTAACAATGTTAGCAAAGAGAAGAAGGAAGAAAATAGACAATGCATTTACAATCAAATGTGAGGTTTGGAAACAGCAAAGGAGTGTTATGACTTTGAAAATAGGATCACTAATGGTGCCCACTAGAGATGCACATAGCCGGATTTAAATTCGATCCGGTTTTTTCACTAAGCCAAAAAACCGGTTTATAAAAAAATCAGTTTTTAATCCGGTAAAAAATCCGGCAGTTTTAAAAAAAACGGTTTTTAATCCGGTAAAAAATCCGGTCATCTAATTTTTTAAACCCCACACCGGATTTTTTTCCGGATAAAAAATCAGTTTTTTATCCGGTTTTTTTCAAACCGGTTTTTAATACAGTAAAAAATCTGGTCGTCCAATTTTTTCTCAAATCGGTTATACTATCCGGTTTTAAAATATTCGATCCGGTTTAAAAAAAACCGGTTTTTATCAAATCCGGTTTCGGATATTTTTTACGTAAAAACGGATATTCGGATTTTTTGTGCACCTCTAGTGCCCTCACACTTAACTGAGACTAATGGTGCCATACACTTAACCTTCAGTTTAAGCGTTAAGCTACTGCTATAGACACATTCCTTTTCTATAAAATTATCATAACAAATAACACTATTCCGATGCTTCCATAAGTTTCAACAAATAGCTCCAATTATTCACTCTCAACCATCACCGGGTATTGCAAACCAAGACGGCTTAGAGAGATTTGTATAGAGCCAATAGACGACATCCATTGACAAAGTTTCTCCGGTTTCACGGTCCTTTTACATGTAGATCCTGCGTGATAACAAAATCGTAATACATACATAATGTCCTTGATTTAACATCCATTGAGAAAAACTCATCAAGTTTCTCTGGTTTCGAGAACCTTTTCCATGTAGATCATGCAGGATAACAAAGTCGTAATATATACGCAATGTCCTCAACTTGATTTCTAAAAATCGAACGCATTGATAAATAAATAAGGTCTTCTAGTTTCTAACAAGCAACGTGCATGTGCCATGCTTAATTTGCATAGGTGTTTACATAATATGATTAGAAAGTTTTAAATTGAACGGTGATAGTAGTTTTCTTCAGTCATACACAGATATTTATACGTGTATATAAATACGTATTGTCACTCAAAAACAAGGATTTCCTTTTTGGTGTTGAAATTTTATAGTTAGAGTATGTTTCAGAATTTAGAGCCCTTGTCATCTTTGAGCTTCCAACTACTTTTTGCCTTGTGTGCATAAATACCAGAAATTAAGCGGTCAACATAGTAGCTAGTCTAACCAGCTCCGACTATGAATTCCCTAATAACAAATTCATGTGGTTCAAACGCCCTATGGTCGGAAATACATGGGTTGGTGTTGGACCCACGGCCGTTTTTCCTGTTACTGATTTTGAACTTGAACCTCCCATGCCATCACATACTTCACTTTCACTCTTTCTCTTTTGGTTTAACAGTCGGTGTAAGTGCCTACTCATGCACTGCCGTCCACGCTCTCTATAAAACCCCATTCCACCCCCCTCCTTTAGGGCAAGTCCAGCTCGATTATGTAACCATCTCTCCAGCTCCACTCCTAACTATGTTCAGATACTAAACATTTGAAGCTTTTACTCCAAAATTATGAGGGTTGCTGCAATTGGTGTTACTGTCAAGCCATGCACTTGGCCCACGCCTACTATTCCTAAACTCACTCCCTACTCTGCCCCTTCCACCGCTATTGACCCTCTAAAGCTCAACGTTACTGAGTTTTCACATGGATCTCACTCTAACTCAGCAAAACTAGCCAAGGACTGGATGGAGTATCAGGGAATAAGTAAATGGCAAGGCTTGCTTGACCCTTTTGATAATATTCTAAGAAGTGAGATTCTAAAATACGGGAGATTCGTGGAAGCAACGTATCGTTCTTTCGATTTCGATCCTTCTTCTCCCACTTATGCCACGTCTAAGTTCCCCAAGAACTCCATACTCACGCGATCTTGCATTGGAGATACAGGTTATAAACCCACCAAGCACTTGCGTGCCACTTCTGGGATTCAGCTTCCCACTTGGATTGACAGGGAATCCACCTGGATTTCCACTCAGTCCAGCTGGATTGGTTACGTGGCTGTTTGCCATGACAAGGAAGAGTTGGCCCGGCTCGGCCGGCGCGACGTCGTCATTGCCTTCAGAGGCACCGCCACTTGCTTGGAATGGCTCGAGAATTTACGCGCCACGCTGACTTGTCTACCCAATGACATGTCCAGTGTGGGTCCTAAAGGCGACGGAGCCAAGGTGGAGAGTGGATTCTTGAGCCTCTACACTTCCGATAGCGACACTTGTCCTAGCTTGCAGCACATGGTGAGGGAAGAGGTCGGAAGAGTACTCCAAATGTACGGCAATGAACCCCTCAGCATCACCATCACCGGCCACAGTCTGGGAGCAGCACTAGCAACGCTTGCAGCGTACGATATAAAATCCACCTTTGGTAATGCACCAATGGTGACCGTCATCTCGTTCGGGGGACCACGTGTCGGAAACCAAAGCTTCAGCTGCGAGCTAGAGAAAAGCGGGACGAAGATTCTACGTATAGTAAACTCGGATGACGTGATCACAAAAGTACCCGGCTTTGTAATTGACAGCAATGAGACGGTAGAGGCAAACAAGGAGGCAGGATTGCCAGGATGGGTTGAAAAGCGCGTGCGAGAGACGGAACTGGTTTATGCAGAAGTGGGACAAGAGCTGAGATTGAGCAGCAAAGAGTGCCCGCAGCTCAGCAAGGAAGGAGTGGTGAGTTGTCACGATCTCAGCACTTATCTCCACTTGGTAAATGGTTTCGTTGGTTCAAATTGTCCTTTCCGGGCCACCGCCTTGAGAGTTCTATATAAGCATCATCCCCAAAAACTGGCAAAGTTGGTACATTGATTTTCTTTTTGAATAAGATTTCTGGATAGTCCGTGTAATTATAACCTTAATTCACATGAGGAAGAGTAAAATTAACTTTCTACTTCTCTACTTGGGAATATTATTATATTGTTTTCAACAAGAACAAAAAAAAGCACTTCCCACGCTTGTTTTTTGGATTTGTAATTTTTTTTGAAAGGATTTGTAATATGAATCTTAATAGGAGTAGAGGTGGTACGTGAGTCAAGAGTTTGAACTTGAACCGTTTCAAAGACATTTTTATATCATTTTAAATATGTTATAATTAATTTCAACTATTTTTATATTTAATGTAAGTCCAATTCAAAGTCAGACCGATGCTCGCGCGGCCTCCAACTTGCCCATATGAGAAAATAATTATCTAAAAACTCGTGACAGATAAAAGAAATAAGCTAATTCCAAAAAGAGTGGGAATATTTTTGATAAAATGTATATCATCAAAAGCTTTTGTAAGTTAATTATATCTCAATGCATTAACAACATTATTAATTTAATTGATGTTATTATGTTAATGAATTACTGATTCAATTGGAGAATCGTTTTTAATATCCTTATTTTTACATAGCAGTATGAATCTGATATAGAGCAGCCTTCTTTGCAGCTTGGATGTTGCCTTCAATGTTTTCTATACAATGATTTTATTACCTTTTCGCAATACCTGGCTGCACCTCCTTTTTTATTTTTAGACGCTAGGCACCATATTCCAGACGTTGCTAACTCCCAGCAATTTGCAGAGCTTGCACTTGGTTCTTGTCTCTATTAGTTCAAATATTTTTATGTTCTCACTCAAAGCAAGTATGAGTTGAAGAACCTATATACAATCCGCCTGTATGTGAAGAGCTTGCCCGTTTTATATGTTAGTAATAGCAGGTCATGCAAAACTACGGAGATATATAACTGATCTGTATGTCGTGTTTAAAATCTTTATAAACTATCTAAGTGCTCGTTTAATTTTTAAGGCGTCTAGAATTATTTTATTCAAAAAAATAATGGAATCTTTTTAATTAAATTATTTAACTTTTAGGATATTAAATCGTTCTGTTGGTTGATTAGGTTCTCCCCTGGAGTTTGCAGTATAGAAGCAGATAAACTAGCTAAAGATGGAGTCCTAATATAAGGCTGCTTTGATCTTGTGAGTTTCCGGATGTTGAAAAATACATTTCTCTAATATCATGTTGTGGCTGCCCTGGTATTTTCCTTTTTTCTGGTTCGTCCATCCATGTAGTTTTCATTGCTTATTTGCGTTAGTAGTCTATGCTCTGTCCCTTGATAGCGTTGGTTGAGATCCGAACAAGTGTTGGGTTGAGGTTTGATTTTGGTTTTGCTTCTGTGGAGGAGGCTTTGTTTGCCTTGAGAAGTCTAGGCTCTTATGGATGTCTGGATTACTAAGAGGGACTTTTTAAGTTGGGTGGAGGCTGTGGTAGCAGTTATTTCGTACGAGATGAGTTTCTCTTACAGCAGTTGTTTCGTACGAGGTGAGTTTCTCGGCATTCGTTTCCATCCCAATCGTGATTTTCCTGCTATTTGAGCCTTCTCGCATAGATTTCCTAGTTGCAAGCGTTGTTTCATTGCATCTTTCGAGCAAGTTTGAATCTGTTCCCTGCAGCAATAGTTAGCGGTTTGTAGGATTTGGTTGCTTAGATGAATTCCCAGATTTTGTTCCTGGGGTTGGATAATCATGTGATGATTAAATGTGGAGGAGTTCCACATAACAATTCATTTTGGACTATTCAATCTTTTGATTCAGGCCATTATCCTTCAAGCTCAGTTCCCACGTAAGAAGGATTTCCAAGACAAGCATCAGAGTGGTTTCAAGCTTCAGCTGGGTATACAAAATTAGTATTAGTGAAGAACAATTAGCAGTTGGCTCGTTTGCAGGCTGCTGTCAACTTGTTTCTTCTTCATACCATCAATCTTTATATTTGAATTCAGCAGGTGTCGGTTTGTGCTTCCAATCTGGGCTTAGATTCAGAAAATGTTACTTTAACTTCATACCCGGCTCTTGGGTTGATAGGAGGTCAACCAAGCACCCATGGGAGCACCTTCAAGCATTTGGTCCATCTCATAATCAGCCGACAATGGTGATAAGATATGTATTAAGCATCTATGAGTAAGGAGTAATAGACAGGAAGCAGCTGAAACCAATGTTCAATAGCAGGAAGTTAAACTCAAGTTTCGAACAGATCAACTGGAGTTAGAGATTGGAAAGTTACAAAGAAATGTTCAGCACCAGAGTTTTGCTTTCAAAGTCTGATGTTCATAGGGAGTCAGATATAAGCTCTTCTCCCTAGTAGTATTGAGTGTGTTTTTGCATGTTTTAGTTCTGGTTTGGTATTGGCTTGGGTAGTGGCATGCATGGACTGGATTTTGATACAAAGTTTGAGTTGTAGTATAATTTCTAAGGTGTATTGGATAATTATAGATTTGTTGGTGTTTTAATAAAGAGAAAATCGCCTCAGTGACCAAAAAAAAGTTATAATATACGATTTTAACCAACTTTTTTTGGATTGCCAAAATGACCAACAAATTCGCAACGCGAAATAAAATCGCAACGCGATCCCCAGAATCGCAAATCAGTTTCCAGAATCGCAAATCAGTTTCCAAAATCGCAACGCGATTCTTGAAAATCGCGATGCGATAGTACAAATTCGCATTGCGATTTTCCATAATCGCAACGCGAATATGAAAATCGCAACGCGAACACATAAATCGCAACGCGTATCCGTAAATCGCAACGTGTATCCGTAAATCGCAACGCGTATGGGTAAATCGCAATGCGTATCCGTATATCGCAACGCGTATCCGTAAATCGCAACGATAATACATAAAATCGCAACGCGTATCCGTAAATCGCAACGCGATATTTAAAGCGCCATTATAATCGCTACGCGTATTTTATTTTCAAATTACAAAAAGAATATTAAGACAAAATCCCGTAATCGCAACTCATAACCTAAACCTAAAATCACAACTCAGTCCCATCTCCATCTCTCACTCTCTACGGCGAAGAAATCCGTCCCCATCTCCGAAGATTTCCGTCCCCATCTCCGGCGAAATCCCTCACAACCATTCACGGTCAGAAATCCCTCACAATATTCAGAAATGGAAAATCAACCTCCGAGGGTTAGTTTTTTTAATTATTTTATTTTGAAATGTTTGCATTATTGTAGGTTTTTCATATTGAAACTGATGATAAGTTTACTGGTCATTTCAATAATAGATTAACCATTTCACTTAGATTTCATTTCGCGTTACGATTCTGTCGTTGCGATTTTCATTTCGCGTTGCTATTCTCTCGTTGCGATTTTCAAGTTAGTATTGTCTTTGTCTTTGTTCTGTCTTTTGGTTGAAGTAATGCAATCCATTCAAGTTTCAATTTGCAGAAGAGTCGCAACGAGATAAATGAAAATCGCAACGAGAGAATGACTGTCGCAACGAGAGAATCGCAACGCGAAATGAAAATCGCAACGAGAGAATCGCAACGCGAAACCAAAATCGCATTGCGATTTTCATTTCGCGTTGCGATTCTCTCGTTGCGATTTTCATTTCGCGTTGCGATTCTCTCGTTGCGATTGTCATCTCGCGTTGCGATTCTCTCGTTGCGATTTTCATTTCAACCAAAAGACAAAACAGTGTTGCAAATTTTAGTTTCAAGAATAAACTACTACTTTTATGTTTATTGTTTTTGGTATATCTTCACAGTGTAGTTTTTGGTATATCTAACTTGGTATGTTTATTGTTTTTGTAGAAATTTTTTTCGGCTCAATTGACCTTGAGAAATAAAGTCAGTCTGGCCACTACAATTGCAAAGAAGCTTTCACCTGCTCAAAGACAATTGTTTGAGGAAACCTGCTTCGGGCCATGGCTGAGAGTACAGCATCCGGGTGGAGATGCTAATTTGACCCATTTGTGGCTTCAGACCATGACATCAAATCTACCCGACAGTATACAACGTGGTGAGGAAGAGATATGGTTTCATTTTCCACCAGCGTATACTCGCTTTGGGCGGAAGGAGTTCTGCTTAATCACTGGTCTACGATTCGGACACGATGATGTAGGCCGGTACACTCGTCATATCGCCCGCCCATCATGGTTATCCCGGGTTTTTCCGGATGAGTCAATGGAGAAGCCGAACCTACATGTCGACGACCTGAAGAAATTATTTAATAAGAAAAGCTGGTTTCACTCGGATGGAAGACGTCGATGTTGTCCGAGTATGCCTTCTACTACTTGTGTATGCCGGCTTTTTAGGCAGAGAGGCCAGACAACCTATTCATCGGGAGCTAATAATATTGGTAGAGGACCTGAATGCATGGAATCTGTTTCCGTGGGGTTCGTATATATGGAAAGCTACCTGGACTAAGTTGTCGTCTGCCTTTGATGACCGCAAAAGTTTGCGGGGCGATGGGTCCAATACACTTTGTCAGGCTTTGTTTGGGCCTTTAAGGTAAGAATTTCTATATAATGTTTCTAAAATTATAATTAATTATTTAACAATTACTAATTTTGTTATTATATTGTTTGTAGATTTGGATATTCGAGGCTTTCCCCAGCATGCGTACATATGCAATAAAAACGTCAAATGATATTCCCAGGGCTATTTCCTGGAAGAGGAAAACTCTGTTGGATTGGGAAGACTTAATACCATATGCCACAATAAATAATGTAAGTTAACACAAATACTTTCATATAATATATAAACAAGTTATTAATAGTAGACGTTTAACTTTGTTTGAGTTTTTATATTTTAGGAGGCCAACATTCCATTACAAAGACTGACACCCACGGAGGAAGAGCTTGCCACTGATTGGTGGCAAGCTAGTCAGAATTTTTTGATGGCACGGATGATGAGCAGCATCCACTTCCTCCAATTCGAGAGCCATCACCTCACCTAGAGCCATCACCGATCGACCCGACTATACACCTCTAGAACGAGAGCCATCACCTATCCCGTCACATCATCGAGCCTCTTCTCCACCATCACCTCATGATAGGCGACCGGCAAAGATGCCACGACTCCTATCTCCCTGTTCTCCACCTCCACCTCAACGGGATGAGTCAAGGGAGTTACGTGATGAGGTCAATGCCTTGCGTGAGGAGATCGGTACTCTACGCGATAACGATGGTGCATGGCGTGTGGAGGTGTCAACTTTACGTGGTGAGGTTGCCGCTCTACGTGAGATGATAGTATCGTTGCAGAATGAGGTTCATACTCTACGCAACGAGGTAAGTTTAAGATTTTCCATATTTAACTTAATGATAAATTTACTCGTAATTTCACTTAGATTAGCCATTTCACTTAGATTGCTTAGTAAATTTATTCGGTTGCTGCCAATTCTGCTAAACTGTGTATTCTTTAACACTGTGAAATAGTCTTTGTCTTTGTTTTGTCTTTTGGTTGAAAGTAAATTTGTTCGGTTGCTGCCAATTCTGCTAAACTGTGTATTCTTTAACACTGTGAAATATATTTGTCTTTGTTTTGTCTTTTGGTTGAAAGTAAATTTGTTCGGTTGCTGCCAATTCTGCTAAACTGTGTATTCTTTAACACTGTGAAATAGTATTTGTCTTTGTTTTGTCTTTTGGTTGAAAGTAAATTGTTCGGTTGCTGCCAATTCTGCTAAACTGTGTATTCTTTAACACTGTGAAATAGTATTTGTCTTTGTTTTGTCTTTTGGTTGAAAGTAAATTTGTTCGGTTGCTGCAATTCTGCTAAACTGTGTATTCTTTAACACTGTGAAATAGTATTTGTCTTGTTTTGTCTTTTGGTTGAAAGTAAATTTATCCATTCAAGTTTCAATTTGCAGAAGAAGAAATAGTTTACTTTCGCAACACGAAACTTAAAATCGCAACGCGAAACCAAAATCGCAACGCGAAATGAAAATCGCAACGACAGAATCGCAACGCGAAACCAAAATCGCAACGACAAGATCGCAACGCGAAACCAAAATCGCATTGCGATTTTCATTTCGCGTTGCGATTCTTTCGTTGCGATTTTCATTTCGCATTGCGATTCTGCCGTTGCGATTTTCATTTCGCGTTGCGATTTTGGTTTCGCGTTGCGATTTTAAGTTTCGTGTTGCGAAAGTAAACTATTTCTTCTTCTGCAAATTGAAACTTGATGGATTGCATTACTTCAACCAATAGACAAAACAAAGACAAATACTAACTTCAGGGTATTAGTTTGAAACATATTTTTCTTTGTTATCTGATGCATTTTGTGAACTATGATAGAATAATGACTTGGGTGAATACAATGCAAGTTGAAACATATTTGTCTTTGTTTTCACTGTTTAAATATCATGTCTGTTTATTTACTGATTTTTGTATTTAATTATTTAGCGGCCCGATAGAGTGGATGCTTTACGTCGGGTTATGCTTGCACGACGGAGTTCACGCATCAGACAGCGTGCACGTGCTATTAAGTCTCCGTACACCCCAATAGTGCGAAGACACCGCAAGAAGAAGCCCGACTCGCCTGTCATCCCTCAAGAGTCCACTCCTATCGTTGAAGAGGCCCCCCATATCATTCCTCGAGAGTCCCCTCCCACCGTTCAAGAGGCCACTGTCATCATTGAAGAGGTCCCTCCCACCATTCAAGAGCCCGATTCACATGGCGTCATATGTAGGCTTCTTGAGAAACCCTCTGACGTGCCGGACATGATGGATTCAAGTTGGCTCTCGTAGAGTTACCGGCCAGTACCATACCGGTATCTGAAGAGGAGAGGGAACAACTACCGGACACAATTTTGGATAACACCCTTTGGGCTAAGACCGCAGTTTATTTTTATCTACATGAGCGGAGCAAGGGGTGTTTCACTGACATATGCAAGCTCACCGATGATATCTTTTTGTTGCTTGAACGGCCTTGGTGGGGCGTATTATTAGGGGTCGAAGACAATGGCTATTTCGATGGGGGGGTAAGTCTTATATTTTTCTTATATTTCAATTTGATTAATTTTTTTTTTAAATTATGTAAGTCACTAATATGTCTTTTTTTGTAAAACAGCATATCGATGCGTGGGTGACACGTCTTCTAATAATAAGAAAACTTAAGAAAAATAAAATATACGATATACAATAATGCCGACGTCTTTTCACGCCGTTCACTTGAAGAATGCACGAGATGAATCATTTGATTTGGGCAATGGACAAGCTAAACTTTATCCTGCATGGTGGGAGGTCGATAAGGTTAGTATTTATTTTAGATTGAGTTTAAAGGTTTTATGAAATAAGTGCGCAAATGAATGAATTATTACTTATGATGCAGGTGTTTATCCCTGTTTTGGAACGTAAACATGGATTCTCGTCGAGCTTCAGCTCCCATCCCTTAAGACAATAGTGTATGACAGCATGATAAATTACATATCATTGGCTGATTTAGAGATGTTAT